CAGACATTCAAATAACCTTTTGCTCTTTCCTGTTAAGCAACAAATGACACATATAATTGAGAGGCTAATGTTGTCTAAGGAGATTAAACAATTGCTTAGCTTAGCCTAAAATAATATAAGTTAAGGACGTTATGGTTTTGAAAAAACTTTTTCCACACATTAATTTTTTAAGTTCACAAGATATATTCGTTCTTTTTAAGTTTCTTAAAGCAGTGATTCTAGAGTTCTAATGCTTTTTCCTACAGACACTGCAGCAACTTTTAAGAAAAGTGTGTAAGCCAATACTCAAATTTTGAGACAATTTTCCTCATCATATTTAAATATAGAACATAAAGTTTTAACCAAGAGTCAGCTAAGTTTACCAGAAAGCTCGAGAAATGCTAGGTTCGGCTTACCAACAGCTCCAGCTGTGGGTTTAATAACACAGCAGTGATTTTAAAAATAGGTAATAAAGTTCTTACAGTTTCTAGATTAAAAATAAAGCAGGGTTATTTATTTATTTTAATATATTTTTATTGTTGATAATATTACAGATATCTCCCATTCACCCTCCATCTCTCCACCCCCCTCCGCCCCCAGGCCCTTCTTCACCACCCTGTTGCTCATGTCCATGGGCTATGCATAAAGTACATAAGTTTTTTAGTTTATCTCTTCTCATCCCCCCAAACCTCATATCAAGGGGTGTCAGTCTGTTTAGAACTCACCCATTAGTCTTCAAGGGTCAATTTTTTTTTTTTTCAGAAATTGTGTAATACAAAAATGTATAATCAAGGCCATATTTTAATTAAAAGGAAAGATACTTTTCACTAGATAACCTAAATATTTTATTGATAGAAAAACATTATTTAGACATATAGGCTCAAAATAAAAATATAGGCTAAAACAAGACTTTAAAATAATAAAATATGTAACATAAATTATTAATAATCCCTTGAAGAAAACTTGATTTCATAACCAAAGATCTTATATTATTAGGGAAAATACCCATTTTTAAAACATGTTGCTTAGGTAACCTTCCAAACATTGTTTACTTAAACATCATCCAAAATATGTTGATTACATGCAAAAACTCATTGATTCAAGATTCTGAGATAGCTTGGGAGATTATAAAAGCCATATGCATATAATATAAAATCATTATTACAATGAACATCAGATCAGAATTCAAAAGTGACTGTGTCTTAAAACAATGTTGATATCTAAATGTACATACCTTAGAAAAAAGGAATCTAAATTTCTTAAGATAATATAGAAAAATAACCTATTTTACATGAATACCCTTTCCCACTTATTATTACATGAAATATTTTTAAAGAACTATATCAGTTTCATTGTCTAGAATGTTTTTGCCCTATTATCACTAACTGGTATATAGGGGGATCTTCAAAAGAAATGTTTTGTACTGAAGCTATTTTGCATATACAGATTTTTCACGTGAGGATTAAGTGTAAAGAATATGGTAGAGGGGGAAAGAGAAGTGTGCAATGCTCTTTCTGTTCTTATGCTGCATCCACAAACATCACCTTCCTGTCCATGTTGCAGGACAGCACTGTACTGAGACATCCCCAAAAGATGTATCAACGTTTCTCTCCCATGGCAAAACATGGTACCTGAATGACATTACCCATTAAAATAGGACATTATTAAAAACCTTAGACAATGAGGTACCATCTCACCCCTGTCAGAATGGCTATCATCAACAAATCAACAAGCGCCAAGTGCAGGTGAGGATGCAGAGAAAAGGAACCTTGTGCACTGCTGGTGGGAATGCAGACTGGTGTAGCCACTGTGGGGAACAGTATGGAGTTTCCTCAAAAAACTAAAAATGGAACTTCCATTTGACCCAGTGATCCCATTTCTTGGAATATATCCCAAGAAACTGAAAATACAAATCAGAAAGGATATATGTACTCCTATGTTCATAGCAGCACAATTCACCATAGCTAGAATCTGGAAACAGCCTAAGTGCCTATCAGCTGATGAGTGGATTAAAAAATTGTGTTACATCTATACAATGAAATATTACGCTGTGGTAAAAAGAAAAAAAGAAAGAAAGAAAAAAGAAGGAACTTTTACCATTTGCAACAGTATGGATGGAACTGGAGAGCATTATGCTAAGTGAAATAAGCCAGCTGGAGAAAAATAAATATCACATGACCTCATTCATTTATGGGATATAATGATCAACACAAACTGATGAACAAAAACAGATCCAGAGACAGAGAAGTATCAATTAGACGATCAAACCTCAGAGGGAAGGCAGGGGAGGGTGGGGGGAGGGGGGAGAGATCAACCAAAGGACTTATATGCATATAGGCCTAACCAATGGACACGGACACCAGGGGGGTGAGGGCATGAGTGTGGGGGATGGGGGGTAATGTGGGAATAGGGACACATATGTAACAACTTAATCAATAAAAAATTTAAAAAATCACTCTAGAAAAATATAATCCTTATTTCTAAATATAAATGAAAATTCTAAGAACAAAGAAGCCGAGAAATGAATGCTATCTATGTCAAGTAAAGAATTAACTTCAAAAATTGTGTAAGAAAAAGGAATTTTCTGGACTGGTTTAAACACCAGAATTTTTTTTTCCTTTGGTGGATACATAAATCTCACAAACTTGGAAAGAGCAGTATTAGCAGCAGATATACTGATACAATTAATATGGCTTTAAACTAAGTCTCAAAGTAGAAAAGAAAAATGTGAATCAGTAAAATGGATATTATGAAGGACAATTGGCTTGAAGTAAAAATAAGACAGTGAAAAATATCTACAAATTATGTTTTTTAAATCATAGCTTGGAACAATACTTAGGCCTAGAATATATATTGTACTAAATAAAACTAAAATGAAAATTGTAGACATGTTAAGTTCTTAAAGTGCATTCTTTTCTTTAATCCTTACACAACCCTGGCAGGTGAGTACAAGGCTTGTAACAGATGTTTATGCAAATTGCCATGTACAAGGGACCCTGGCCTGTGGGAATAGTAATGAGTGTATTCTACTCTACTCCCCCATTGCCCAATAGGTACTATTTTTATCTTCAATTTACCAGGTAGGAAACTAGGTGTAGGCATGTTTGGAAATCTGCTCAAGATTATATAGCTTATAAATGCTAAGGCTAGATTAGCTAGAATTGGAGACCAGATGTGTCTGGAATTTATAATTTTAACAAACATAAGAAAGAGGAATTTGTTTACACGTGTGCACACATATATAATTTATTCTAAAATAATAGAGGAAGGGGAAATAATCTAATTAGTTCACCAGGAAGAACACAGTGTCTGGAGAATTTGTGTCACTGCATACATTTATGTGCATACATTTATGATCAGACACATAAAGACCAAAAGTTAGAGGAGATGCTTATTGTAGGGAAGGAAAATCAAAGAGAGAAACTGTCAATGAAAAATAACAGCAATACTAGCAGCAAACATTACAGAAGGTAGTTTATTAATAATGAATACAAGAGATGGATGAGAAGGAAGAGATTTAATTAGTTTAATTCCTCTTTGGAGAAGTCTAATTCTGCTAATATCTGTCTATTTGATGGGGAAACTCCAATGGTAACTACTTTTCTGTTAAAATTGAATCACAGAGAAGGTAATGGGCATACACAATGGAGACACTGGGGAACAAAGGTTCTGAGGGATGTTAAAAGAAGGGATTGATGCAGAGTTGTGTAAAGTATGAATACTTACAACAGGCAGCCCTTCAGCATACAGGGTGCCATGGGCAGTTACCAGATATTCCAATAAATGTAAGTGAGGATGAGAGTGATAAGCTAAAAATGAAATTATGACTCTATCATCTTCTCTATCAAGGAAAATTATCAACAAATTAAAACACTTTTGATATGGATTTGGGATTTACTCAGATTTACTTAGAGGGTGAAGTAAATGAGGACTAACAGAAAGTTTCTGAAGACCCACTGCTCTCTGCTATCAGTGACCTGGGAATACTTAGACAAGGAAGCAGTGTTGATCAAATGACAGATGTATTCTACAGGAAAAGATATAGCTTTTGATTGTCAGACATGTATAATAAAAATATTCAACATAATATGTTGCTTAATTGGAATAAAGTACATATTTAAACTATCTTTTATTATAACTGTGAAACAGACAGGAAAACATTGCTTTGATGACAGTATGCCTGAGTGGATTACTGATGGTTGATCAGTCTTTTTCAAAACAACATTTTTTCTTTCTACTGTCCAAACTCAAAAGGCTATTTTGTTATTTCCTTAATAAAGTAGAAAACCTACCTTATAAATCTATGGATAATGTAAAGTTGTGAGATACAACTAATAGATAAATCTTCAAAAATGTTTTGCTGTGATGAAAGTAACCCTAAATACACTAAACAGAAAACACTGTAAAGACCTACATTTAAATTTCAAAAACATTATTTATACCAACAAAGGATAATTGAATTTAACATTTGAAAAAATATAATATTTTCACATAAGCTATAATCTTCAACTACTGAGGAAATCAATCACACTTGATTGTTTCTTCTAATTTTACTAAAATAATTCTATCCTTCATACATATTACATTAACTTTAAAACATCATATATTTTGTATATATATATATATATATATATCTTGAGTATAAAATGTAAGTTTTCTAGCTTCTTACAAAATAATACAAAGAATTATACAGTATAAGAAAGTGTTAGAACACCTTGCATGTTTATTTCATAACAATTATAACATGTCATTTCTATAACATATCTAGTGATGAAGGATTTGAAGGCTCAAAAGATGTCACTTTAATATATCTGCTATCATAGTAGAATATGCATAAATTAATTTCCAAGATTTGTAAATAATTAGAAACTATTATGTGTAGAGTAATTTTATCTTTTATATAGGGACATATATTTAGAAATTTATGCAAAATAATTAATACTTTATGGCAGCTAACAATAGTAACAATGTCTTCACAAAGAATCGCGAAGAAAAAAAAAGCCAACAGTTAAATTTCTCACCTGCCTAATACCCAGCCGGTATGCCACAATCCGATCCACCGCATCAGGATTCATTTGTGTCCACTGTAGACTATAGGAATAAACACGGTGTCTGTTTTGCCAAACAGGATTGTAGGTATCGTAATAGAATTCTGGAGCATAGGCCTTTCCTGAAAACAGAAGGAATACATTTAAGTGATGACATATTCCAATTAAACATATTTGTTCTTTTTGGCCCTTTTACCACATTCTGCTAGGAGTTCTATATGTAACTCTTGTATCTGAAAAGTCTTATTATTAAAATCTATTCAATTTTCTGGAGAATTTTGAGTATAGATGCCAGAAGATTTCCTGGTTGATTGGATGAGCAGGCTCAGAGAGAAAGAAGAATCAAGGATGATTACAAGTTTTGGCCTAAAACCTGGAAGATTAAAATTTCCATCAACTGAGATAAAAAGCTTTGTGAGGGACACATTTGGGAGGAGGAGAAAATCAGGGAGTTATTATTATTTTTTTAGTCCTCACTTCAAAAGACATCATTTTAGCTGAACCGGTTTGGCTCAGTGGATAGAGTGTCGGCCTGCGGACTCAGGGGTCCCAGGTTCGATTCCAGTCAAGGGCATGTTCCTTGGTTGCGGGCACATCCCCGCTGGGGGACCTGCAGGAGGCAGCTGATCGATCTCTCTCATCGGTGTTTCTGGCTCTCTATCCTTCTCCCTTCTTCTCTGTAAGAAATCAATAAAATATATATTTTTTAAAAAAGACATCATTTTAATATGTCTGCTGTCATAGCAGAATATGCATAAATTAATTCCCAAGATTTGTAAATAATTAGAAAGTTATGTATATAGTAATTTTATCTTTGATATAGGAAAATATATTTAGAAATTCATGCAAAATTAAAGAAGATGTTCATTAATATTTAGGGAGAGGGAAAGGGGGAAAAGAGAGAAGGAGAGCGAGAGAGAATCATAGATTGCTCACCTCCAGTATGCCCCCTGATCAAGAGATCAAACCTGAAATCCAGATATGTGACCAGGAATCAGACCTGCTACCTTCCAATGTATGGAATGATGCTCCAAACAACTGACCCACACCAGCCAGGACAAAAATCAGGGAGTTAATTTTGAAAAGTTTGAATGCTCTAAATGCAGACATGAAGTGGAATATACTAGTCTAGAATTCAGGAAAAACCTGGATTGGCGATATATCTTGCTAACCACAGGCATGTATATAGATTTTAAATTTAAAGCCCTGAGACTCAGCATCATCAGGAGAGTGTGAGAAGATAGGGAAGAAAACTGGCCTGACCACCGGCGCAGTCCAAGGTTAAGAAATGTGGGGGCAGTGAACACCCACAGAGGCCTGGCACGGACAACTGGTGAATAAGAGAAAAGTTTAAAACTGTGGCATCCAAGAAGCCACAAGAAGTATATCAGCACTGAATGACCAACTCTGTAAAAAAAATTAGTGAAAATAAAAAATCTTGTTTATTTTTTCATTGTTTTTAGTCAATAAACTCAAAATCATTCAAACAGAACTCAACAATAACACAGAACTTTGGTCAATAATAAAGTTTTTTGTTTTTGTTTTTTAAATATATTTTATTGATTTTTTTACAGAGAGGAAGGGAGAAGGACAAAGAGCAAGAAACATCGATGAGAGAGAAACATCGATCAGCTGCCTCCTGCACACCCCCTACTGGGGACGTGCCCGCAACCAAGGTACATGCCCTTGACCAGAATCGAACCTGGAACCTTTCAGTCCGCAGGCCGACGCTCTACCCACTGAGCCAAACCGGTTATGGCAATAATAAAGTTTTTATTTAAGAATATGTGAAGTGCATATAGCATATATGATATGTATAAAACATCTGTGTATTGTTACTTTTGTGTGTGTGTCTGTGTGTATTTTTATACTGAATTGTGCACAGACCATTTGTAATTTGTAATTATAGGTCCAAATTACAAACGTTCTGAAACATAGATTTTTCTCACATTCTATTTTTTTTACTAATACTGCATTTATTTAATAAATAAACAATATTTAGTGAGACCCTTTTATTTTATTTATTTATTTTTATATATTTTATTGATTTTTTACAGAGAGGAAGGGAGAGAGACAGAGAGTTAGAAACATCGATGAGAAAGAAACATGGATCAGCTGCCTCCTGCACATCTCCTACTGGAGGAGTGCCTGCAACCCAGGTACATGCCCTTGACCGGAATCGAACCTGGGACCCTTCAGTCCGCAGGCCGACGCTCTATCCACTGAACCAAACCGGTTTCGGCTAGTGAGACCCTTTTAAATGCCAAGTAGTATACTAGGCATCAAGGATACAATAAATGAGGAGATCTGACCTGTCTTCATAGAAATTGCTTACATTTTCTCATACTTTCCAAATAGCTTTGTAATTATTAACTGATGATGAGCTAATAAGTTGTACACTTATCATCCCTCATTCCACATCTGTCCTGTTTTATTTTATTAAAATTAAATATTAAGTGCCCTCTTGGGTTTTTCTTCCTATATTCTTATGTTCAGAAACTTTTCTTGCCTAGTTTTTTATATTTCTTCATTATTTGTCATCTAGGGGTTACAAAAAGGTTGAATCATAAAAATTTATCACAGACAAAGAATGGATTTTGAACACTAAGAATGGAAGTGATGATCTCTGTTATCCTGAAGAGGATTACCAGGAAAAACATAATGTAAAATGAAATAAATTTAATTTTTTACAAGTTTACTAGTAAAATTAAATAAATTGAATTAAATGTATGAATTTTAGCAACAATTTTTAAAAATCTTCTACATCAACATTGTGTGCATTAAAAAATGTTCTATAAATATCTATTCAGTTGAATTGAAAAACAATTATCAACTTCATACAAAGAACCTTGCAAAGAAGGAGATCTCTAGAAAAGAGCCATCACATTCATTTTATCACTCCTTTTATCTTGTATGATATTTTCACTTAATAAATGGGAGGACATATTCATGTTCACAAGATTACGAGCAAAATCCAGATGAAAGAAAAATAATATACTGAATGAAGAAGTGAATACCAAAATATCATTGACAACTTGTATTTGTGACCAAATTTCTCAAAATGTTCTTAAAGAGGTGTATTTAGTACTAGTCTAAATAAAGAGCTAGGGGTTTTTATTAAAAATAACCATTCAATTTGGAGAAATATCCATTCAGGTTTTAAAATAAAAAATCACACATACACATAAATTTATTCTCTGGTTTTTCAGACAGTCATATTAAATGTTTTCATATTCATTTTGTAGGAAGCACAAAGTAGTACTAAGAAAATATCTTTATAATAATCCTAGACTCTTACAACCAGGCATGGTTGAACAGGGAAAGAATTTGTAATATTTCTTTTTCTTTTTATTCCTCCAGGCCTATGTTTTCCTTTTTTTCCTTCCAGCAAGCATGTCAAGGAAATATTATTTCTCTTTTATATTCATCTTATTTTTAACCAACACTGTTCTACTTTAAATGTTTTTAGACTAACTGACCTAGAATTACATTCATTACCTAAACTAGCCAAAAATTTTTAGATATATTATGTATGATTATATAAAGATGATGGATTTTAAAATATTCTTAAAATATACATAGGGAAAATTGTCATTCAAAGTTTTATATAGAATTTGTGCAAAAGTACATTTATTCTATTTTGCAAATAGCTTTCGAAAAGTAATTAAATTAAGGCTTCAAAAATGCTTTTATGGGTAAAGCGCAAAGTAAAAGATAAGAAGCTATTACATGTCACTCTCCTGGTACAAAAATGCAATCTTAATATATAACAAAACTATGTTTTAGGTGCATACATAGGCTTATAAGCAAGTGAGAGAATTATTCCTCAGAGATCAAAGAACAAAAACCTGAAAACCAAGCAATGAAAAAAAGCTTAGGGAAAAAAGAAGTGTTGTTGCTTTGTACCCGTGGGAGCTGAATTTTAGACCCATAAGGGATGAGGTTAATGGGCAAGTCTCAGATGAAAAGTTAGAAATTAGGTTACCACATTCAATCAAGATCAGTAAAAACAGCAGTCTCAGTCATAGGGTATCCTAGAATAAAGCTGCTCTTCACCAGCATAAGAAAATGACAAAAATACTACATTAAGAAAAAAATCATCCTTGGCTAGTAATACCACTGGAGTCCTTCAGTATATCCAAATTATGTTCTTAAAGAACATGCTTTCAACTGAGACTGCAGAGATTTCTTCAACTAAAACCTCAATGATTATGAATTAAAAATACAACATTAATAGCACACAAGAAAATGTGTGACTAAGAAGGACAATTAACAGCAGGATTAGACTACAGATAATGGAACCATGAAATGGAATTTATAAATAAGTATGCACGAAACAATTAAAGAAATACAATTGCCCTGGCAGGCATGACCCAGTGGTTAGAGCAATGGCTCAGGCACTGAAGGGTCATGGGTTCAATTCCCCGCCAAGGGCATGTACCTGGATTGCAGGTTCAATCCCCAGCCCAAGTCAAGGTGTGCACAAGAGGCAACTCATTGATGTGTCTTCCTCAAATTGTTTCTCTCTCATCCCTCTCCCCTCCCTGCGCCCCTCCAATTCCCACTCTCTCTGAAAATCAATGGGAAAATATCCTTAGGTGAAGATTAATCAAAAAAAGAAATACAATATAAAATGTTAAAACAAACAAATAACAACAACAAAAAAGAACACACACACTATGGAACCTTCTATAAAATAATAATATTGTCTATTGAGATCAAAGGTGGGCTTCACAGGGGACACGTCTAACAACATCTTTATTGATCTTAAAGAAGAAGGTGTTGGTTGGCTCATGGAAAAATAAGAGAAGGAAAGTAAGGTATGGACTTAGGTGGAGAAAAATGAATATATGATAGACAATATTTTAGAACAACCACAGGATCTGCCATGGCTGTAACATGTTGTACCCATCTTTCCTACCAAATTGTGCCCTTTTGAAGCATAGAAATGTTCTTATACTACAATGGCTGACACAATGCATGTATTTAAATAAGATAGAAAGTCAGGTCAGTGCTAATTTAAGAAGTGTCTCGTTAGATATAAGACATTTTATATTTACCCTATAGTTGCATTATTCTCAAATTATTTTAGCCAGTGCTCACTTCAGTGGAAGAAAAAAAT